AAAAAATTTTAAAAAAAACTTTCCACCTTTTAAAAAAAAAAATATATATATATATATTATGCTTGGTAAAAGAAGCCAGATTCAAGCTATCTTCATATTTTATGATTTCATTTACATGACATTCCAGAAAAAGCAAAACTATAGAGACAAAGAAAGGATCAGTGGTTACCAGGGGCTGAGGGTTAGGGGAACAGATGGACTACAAAAGGACACAAAGGAACTTTTGGGGTGATATATCCTATGTGCTGTTTAGTAATGATTACATGATATTATTTTCAAGAATTCAAAGAACTGTATACCTAAAAAGGGTGAATTTTACTATATGTAAATTATGCCTCCATAAACATAAATTTGCAGAAAAAAATGTAGTCAAGAGAGTAGATGAAGATACATAAAAAAAGAAGAGATAGTCATAAAATCCACTCTACTAGGTTTGTCCAAAGTTTTAAAAATTATTTTCTATTCATTCATTTTCTAATAAATTCAGAAGTCAGATATACACACTGAATAATCTCAGAGAATAACACATAATCTAGTAATTTTCTAGCACTATCAAAGCAAAACTACCTACAATTTTCAGTTTGGGTTAAGCTTAGCAGTTTTTGCCTTATAATTCAAACAAAAGATATATAATCTAGTATTGCGTTATATTATCTTTATATTGTTTCTTACTTACCTGTGCTTTAATTATCTAATCCTATATTGTTTTAACATGAAAACCACTGTTTGTCTTTGAAATGTGGGCAGTAGATACATATTAAATAAAACTCACCTGTAGCTTCAGGATTTGCCAATGTATTGGAGAGCTTAATCATAAATTCTTGAATGGTAATCTTGCCATTTTCTGTAATGCAAAGCAAAATTTAGATGAAAGAATTACTGTTTCTGAATTAATTAACATAACTGAAGCTAACAGTCAAGTTATAACAAGATTAAAAGCTTGTGAGTCAGCCTGTACTATTCCTTCTTCCTTACCTTCCGCATACATATGATTATCAATTTCTGTTCAATTATTTCCAAATATTTTTTGAATTTATCACTACATTAATTAATGCCTATGCTATTACAACAGCATCTTTAAAAACCTATGACATCAGTCTCACCTCTCTCCATTTATTTGCCACAATGCAGCAAGGGAGATCTTTCTCTTAAAAAAAAAATCTGATCACTCCCCTAAATGAAACCCTTCAGTAGCTTCTAATTGCCCAAAAACTATAGAAAAAAGATAACGTGTTGGAGGTAGAGGGAAAAGGTGTTCCTCTACATACCTTTAGGAATGCATTTTCACTGAGGGTGATTATCGCTCTGAAGGAGAAAAATTGGTTCTTGGAGGAGAAAAATCTTAGATATTACAATGATTTGTGGCCACAGTACATAAACAGATATGTAATATAGCTGTGGTATTAAATGTTCATGAGGTGTGTGAGAGGGGGAGTTGTAAGGAACAAAAATGTCTTAAAAGGCTCTTTAGGGGAGTGATAATGGATAAAAAGGTTAAGAAACACTGCTTTAGAATAATGGTAGCCAGCTCTCCACATGGTCTCTTTCCACATGGTCTCCAAAAACCCATACAAAATAACAAATAAGATAACCCATAGCCCATGCCTACGGCATAACTAAGAGGCAGAATATTACAAACTTTAATTTACATGTAAGTCAAGAAATAAAAATAGGGTCAACACAGTGAGCTCCAGAGCCCACATGGAAGTGGAAAATCAGGTGATAATTTCACAGGACAACAAATGAAGAAGGGTCCTTTAAAGGCAGAACACAGATAATAACAACTGGAGTTCACTCATAAGAAGAGAGTTCCACCTTAAGCGGGGAAATACAAAGAACAGGTCAGAGACCTGATGGATCAGAGCCCTAATCTCCGGGGAACTAAAAGAAAGGGGCTTGGGAATCCACAGGACCAAAGCTGGCATCTCGATGGGGAACAGCATTGCATGGCGTTTGGTGGTAAAGGAAAAGAAGAAAGCAGTTAAAGATGAAGTTCCTACTACATGGTATCAAAATGTTAGAAGCAGCTTCATCTCCCCCACCCCGAAAGGTATCATTTATTAAAGTAAATGTACTTCACTGCAGAAACTGAAGAGGGCACTCTTAAACTGTATAAGCCACCCAACACCTTTAACTCTTCTAAGAACTCAGAATAAAAATGGACAAGAAGATTTGAAATGAGAGCTGACTGAACTAAGAAAATAGATTATGTAGAAACACAAAGTTAACTACAAAATAAAGAGTCAAGTAAAGGTACGCAAGGTAGAACGGATATGACTAAAACTGTAGTAAGTGACATATAGGACAGAAATGAAAAGAATCAAAATAAAAAGGAGGAAGAGAAAACCTATGCCAAAAAAAAAAAAAAGTGCAAAAGTTCAGAGCAAAAGTGACAGATATAAAAGACAAAGGATATCCGATATGTATGTAAATGAAGTCCCTGAAAAAAAAAGTAGAACGATGAAACAGATTTAACTTTTTATTAGAAATTACATGCACAGAATTAGAATAAATATTATCTTTGGGTTCTGAAACATTATTGGTCCACACATAGCCCACTTTTATTTATTTGGTTAACTCAAAAATTTTTATAATATAATAAATACCAGCAAACTTATGCCCAAAACAAAAGCTACCACTTGACAATAATCAGCATCTAACCAGAAGGTTCCCCTTACAAACCCAGCCCTCTGCCTTCTCCAACCCTTCATCATGAGTCCAGTGTTCACCATTCCTTTGCTTTCTTTTTAATGTAATTTTATTGTACACACACACATTCCTAAAATCATCATGGACAATGTCAAACACCTCTAATTTATGATAATTAGCCATATGTGTCTCCACTTCTATGAAATACCTGTTTGACTCTCTTGCTCATTTTTCTTTTGGATTGTTTGTATTTTCATTGGTTGGCTGGAGTTCTTTATTCTTAATACTAATCCTTTGTGAGTTGTGTAAACTGTGAATATTTTCTCAGAGTTGTAACTTACCTTTTCATTTTCTTAAAGGCCTCCTTTGAATAACAAATTACTTACTTTTAATATAGTTAACTTTGTCGATACTCAATTATAGTTAATGCTTTTGTGTATTGTTTAAGAAAGCTTTCCTACCCCCAGATATCCACCTATATTTTCCATTAAATGCTTTAAAGTTTTGTTTTGGACCCTTAAGTCCTTAATCGACTTAGGGTTGAATTTTGCCTACTATGTGAGGTAGTGATACAATTTCATCTTTTTCCATATAAATAAGTATTTTTCCAGCTCTAGTTGGCAAACAGAGCCTTCCTTTCCCCACCCATCTGACACGCCACTCTACATTTATCAAAGTTTCATTCTTGCTTCGGCGGCTGGGGTTCGGTTCCCAGGCACGGACCTACACCACTTGTTAGTGGCCATGTTGTGGCTGTGGCCCACATACAAAACAGAGGAAGACTGGCAACAGATGTTAGCTCAGGGCACATCTTCCTCACCCCCCCAAAAAAAAAAGTAGATGGAGAATTTCAGCAGGGAACTAGAAACCATTTTAAAAATCAAAGAGACCAAAAAAAAATCAAATAGACATTCTAGATCTGAAAAGTATATCAAACGTTATCAATTATTCAGTGAATGGATTTATCAGCAGAATAATCACAGCCAGAGAATTGGTGCACTGGTAAATAAGTCAGAAGAAAACACAAAATGAACATGAAGAAGCAAAAGGATGGGAAATACAGAAGAGGGAGTGAAAAACATAGGAGATATAGTGAGAAAATATAATATGCATGTAATTGGAGTAAAACATAAAAACACATAGACCAATGGAACAAAATAGGAAGCCCAGAAATAAAACCATGCATATATGGTCAACTAATATTTGACCAGGGAGCCAAGAACACTCAAAGGGAAAAGGATAGTTTCTTCAATAAATGGTGTTGAGAAAACTGGATAACCACATGCAGAAAAATGAAATTGGATTCCTATCTTACACCACTCACAAAACTTAACTCAAAATGGCTTAAAGACTTAAAGATAAGATCTGATACTGTAAAATTCCTAGACGAAAATGTTGGGAAGAAGCTCCTTAACAATGATATGGGCAATGATTTTTATGAATATGACACCAAAAGCACAAGCAACAAAAGCAAAAATCAACAAGTGGGACTATGTCTAACTTAAAGGCTTTTGCACAGCAAAAGAAACAATGAACAAAATGAAAAAGAAACTTATGGAATGGGAAAAAATATTCGCAAATCGTATATTGTATAAGGGGTTAATATCCAAAATATATAAAGAACTCACACAAGTCAATACCAAAAAGCAAACAATCCAATTAAAATATGGGCAGAGTAACTGAATACACGTTTTTCCAAAGAAGACATCCAAATGGCCAACAGGTACACGAAAAGGTGCTCAACATCAGTAATCATCAGGGAAACACAAATCAAAACCACAATGAGATATCACCTCACACTTGTTAAAAGGGCTATCATGAAGAAGACAAGAGATAACAAGTGTTGACAAGGATGTGAGAAAGGGAACCCTTGTGCATTATTGGTGGAAATGTAGGTGCAGCCACGATGGACAACAGTACAGAGATTTCTCAAAAAATTAAAAATAGAACTACCACATGATCCATTAATCCCACTGCTGAGTATATATCCAAAGGAAATGAAAACAGGATCTCGAAGAGATTTCTGCACTCCCATGTTTACCACAGCATTATTCACAATAGCCAAGATATGGATGCAACCTAAGTGTCCATCAACGGGTTAATGGATAAACAGATGTAGTATATATACATATACAACAGAATATTATTCAGCCATGAGAAAGAAGGAAATCTGTCATTTGCAACAACATAGATGGACCTTGAGGGCATTATGCTTAGTGAGATAAGCCAGACAAAAACAAATACTGTATGGTATGAGTAATATTTGGAATCTAAGAAAGCCAAACTCATAGAAACAGAGAATATAATGGTGGTTACCAGGGGCTGGGGGTGGGGGAATTGGGGAGATGTTGTTAAAGGGTACAAACTTGCAGTTAGAAGATGAAGAAGTTATGGAGATCTAATGCACAGCATAGTAATTATAGTCAACAATAATGTATTATATACTTGAAAGTTGCCAAGAGACTAGATCTTAAATGTTCCCTCACAAAAAAGAAATTATAATTATAATTATGTGAAGTGATACGGTATTAGCTAATGCTACAGTGATAATCATATCATGATATACAAATGTATCAAATCAACACATTGTACACTTTAAACTTACACAATACGTCCATTAGTCTCAACTGAAAAAAAAGAAAAAGAAAAACTCTGTGGAGACTGAGTTAAAAAAAAGGAGCTCCTAGCTACTAATATTGAGAATGAAAATGAGGATATCATTACAGTTGAAGCAGACATCAAAAAGATAAGAAGCAGAGGCCAGCCCAGTGGCACAAGCGGTTAAGTGCGCGCGCTCCGCTGCGGCGGCCCGGGGTTCACTGGTTCGGATCCCGGGCGCGCACCAACGCACCGCTTGTCAAGCCATGCTGTGGCAGCGTCCCATATAAAGTAGAGGAAGACGGGCATGGATGTTAGCCCAGGGCCAGTTTTCAGTAGAGGAAGATGGGCATGCATGTTAGCCCAGGGCCAGTCTTCCTCAGCAAAAAGAGGATTGGCAGATGTTAGCTCAGGGCCGATCTTCCTCACACACACACAAAAAAGATAAGAAGCAGATATCAAGGACAACTTTATCCAAAAAATTGAAAAGTCAGATGAAATGGACAAATACCTAAAGAAACCCAGCTTGCCAAAATTAACAAGAAAATAGAATATTTTCTTTGTAATATCATACATTTTAAGAAATTAAATCAATAATCCAAAACCTTCTCATAAATAAAACGTCAAGCCCATGTGGCTTCAAGTTCTACTTAACATTTGAGGAAGAAAAAGTCTCTTCTAGAAAACAGAAAAATAAAGAACACTCCCCAACTCATTTAAAAACGTAGCAAAGAAAATATTCAACTATACCAGCCACTAAAATAATGAAATTATTTTGTACATTTATAAATATCTGCTTCCCTGAGCCAACACCATGTGCAACACCCCCTGAGGTATCCCTGGATATCAGCATAAATTAGCTCACAAAGGGTTAACACCTGGCAAAAGAGCCCCCAGGACTCAGGTCTACACTGGATGGCACTCTGATTGAATACTGCCCATGCCAGTCAGTTCACAAATAACCTCACCTTTCAGGTACCACCACCATTGGCTTTCCATAGGGATAAGGTAGGCCCTGACTTTCCCCTCTGTTTGGTTCCATGGAGCTCAGGGTTGGCACACCAGAAGGGGAGCACTAATGTTCACCAGTCATCCCACTGCAGCTCCTACAGGGTGCCCTCCCTCACTGTATGCCTCAGCCATACATCTCCCACCCCCACTGGGAGAGGATGGCTTTTATAACACAGATGCATTCAAACTACTAACCATGTTCAGGTACATATCTTGACACTTCATTAAGTAAATCATTAGCTGCATGAAGATCATCGTTTACCAATAATGCCTTCAGGTCAGAAACATCAATTAGATCATTCCGGAGAATTTGGGTAGTAGCTAAGAGTAGCTGTGTAGCTGCAAAAAGCAAAATCAAATGTTTCGACAGGAGAAAGAGAATATATTATTTGCTATCACTTAATAGGCTTGGGTTGTATAAAAAAATTTTACATGAAATATTAGCATAGTTTTTAAAACTATTGTGTATTATAACAGCTAACAGTTACTGGACACCTACTAAGTGCTAGATACTGTTCTAAGTACTTTTACTTTACCTATTTAAGCCTCGTAATAAACCCAAAGTAGACATCAGTATCCCCGTTTTTCAGATGAAGAAACTGAGGTTAGTGAGATTAAGTGATTTACTGAAGACTATATTGGTAGTAAGTGGCAGGGCCAGGATTCAAGTCCAGGTACTACGGTTCCAAAGCCCATGCTGTTAGCTACTGTGCCTTTCAAGTAGACACACGTAAGTGATCAACCTTTACCCCTTTGGCCACATAACACTTCACGTGTGGCCCCTGAAATAATTGTGAAGCATTACAAATAAGCTTTACATCAAAACTATATTGCATTATTTAACTTAATGTTACATCACAGAGATAAAATAGACAAGAAGCAGCAGCAGCAGTGGCAGCAGCAGCTACAAGCCATGCTCTTTGTATTTATCCTATAGCCCCACAAATTCTGACAACCTTGGTTGCTTTCCAATACCTTTAAACAGTTGTAGTTGTTGATGCTGCTTAATTTAGTCCAGATTTTATAGTTACTCTCAGCAGGAGGGTTGGTCTGATACAAGCTACTACATCATAGACAGAAGTAGAATTAGGTGAATCAAGCGTTATAGGTAATTCTAGTGCCCTGCTCTGGTTAAAAATTGCTGTTTATTGGAAATACCATATGATCCAACTATCCTACTACTGGGTATTTATCCAAAGAACTTGAAACCAACAATTCAAAGAGATTTATGCACCCCTATGTTCATTGCAGCATTATTCACAATAGCCAAGATGTGGAAGCAACGAAGTGTCCATCAATTGAAGAATGGATAAAGAAGATGTGGTATATATATACAATGGAATACTACTCAGCCATAAAGAAGACAAAATCGTCCCATGTGCAACAATATAGATGGACTTTGAGGGTATTACGTTAAGCAAAATAGGGCAGAAAGAGAAAGACAAACACTGCGTGATTTCACTCATATGTGGAAGATAAACAAACATGAATAAAGAGAACAGATTAGTGGTTACCAGAGGGGAAGGGGGTTGGAGGGTGGGCGAAAGAGGTAAAGGGGCATATATTTTGGTGATGGATAAAAATTAGACTATTGGTGGTGAGTATGATGCAGTCTATACAGAAACTGATAAATAATAATGTATACCTGAAATTACACCACGATATAAACCACTATGACTTCAATAAAATAATTGAAAAAAAATTGCTGTTTAGGTTATTACTTTACTACAAAGCTACAGTAATCAAGACCATGTGGTACTGGCATAAGCATAAAATAAAGATCAATGGAATGGAATTGAGAGTCCAGAAATAAAGCCATACATTTACGATCAATTGATTTTTGACAAGGGTGCCAAATCATTCAATGGGGAAAGAATAACCTTAGATATTCTGCACGCAAAAGAATTAAAGTGGATTCCCATCTCACACCACATAAATAAATTAACTCAAAATGGATCAACGATTGAAAAAAAGAGCTAAAACTTAAAACTCAGCATAAAAATTAGTGTAAATCTTCATGATCTTGGATTATCTTTAGATATGATACCAAGAGAAGAAGTGACGAAAGAAAATACAAATTGGACTTCACCCAATTTAAAAACTTTCGTGCTTCAAAGGACACCATCAAGAAAGAAAAAAGTTGGAGCCGGCCCGGTGGTGCAAGCGGTTAAGTGCGTGCGCTCCACTGCGGCAGCCTGGGGTTCGCCGGTTCGGATCCTGGGCGCGCACTGATGCACTGCTTGGCAAGCCATACTGTGGCAGCATCCCATATAAAGTGGAGGAAGACAAGCACAGATGTTAGCCCAGGGCCAGTCTTCCCCAGCAAAAAAAAAAGAGGAGGATTGGCAGATGTTAGCACAGGGCTGATCTCCTCACAAAAAAAAAAAGAAAGAAAGAAAAAAGTTAACCCATAAAATAGGAAAAAATACATGCAAATCATATATCTGATAAAGGTGTAGTATCCAGAATATATGAAGAACTCTTACAAGTTGACAAATCACCCAATTTTAAAATAAGCAAAGCATACATGTCTCCAAAGAAGATATACAAATGGCCAACAAGCACACGAAAAGATGCTCAACATTATTAGCCAACAGGGAAATGCAAATCAAAACCACAGTGAATTCCTTTATACCCATTGGCATGACTATAGTAAAAAAGACAGACAATAACAAGTGTTGGTTAGGATGTAGAGAAATCATACATTGCTAGTGGAAACATAAAATGGTGCGGCTGCTTTGGAAAACACTGGCAGTTCCTCAAAAACTTAAAGTTACCACACAACCCAGGATTCCATTTCTAGGTATATACCCAAGACAAATGAAAATATGTGTCCACACAAAAACTTGTATTCAAAAAAAAAATGTACACAGGAGCTGGCCCTGTGACATAGTGGTTAAGGTTGCGTGCTCCGCTTTGGTGGCCAGGAGTTCACGGGTTCAAATCCCAGGCACGTATATACACACGGCTCATTAAAGCCATGCTGTGGCAGCGTCCCACATACAGAGTAGAGGAAGATGGGCACAGATGTTAGTTCTGGGCCAATCTTCCTCACCAAAAAAAAAAAAAAATGTACACAAATATTCACAGCAGCACTATTCATAATAGTCAAAAACAGCAAACAACCCAAATATCTATAAACTGATAAACTGCTAAACAAAATGTGGTATATCCAAATATTAGAATATTATTCCACCAAAAAAGGAATAAGTACTGATTCATGCTATAATATAGATGAACCTTGAAAACAGTATGTTAAATGAAAGAAGTCAGACACAAAAGGCCACATAATACATGATTCCACTTGTATGAAATGTTCAAAATACGCAACCCATACAGACAGAAAGTAGATTAGTGGTTGCCAGTGGATGGGGAGAGGTAGGAATGGGGTATAAGTGCTAAAGTGTACAGAGTTTCTTTTGGGGGTAATGAAAATGACCTGGAATTAGAGTGGTGATGGTTGCATAACTTTGTGAATATACTAAAAACCACTGAATTCTACACTTTAAAAGGATGAATTTTATGGTATGTAAATTATATCTCAATAAAAAAATGTACATCTGATTCAAAACACCACAGATTATAAAGCTATTCCAATTTTAGAGATATTAAAATGTAAAAAAAAAAGATATTTGTTTCACCAATGCATTTAGAAATACATCATTGATAAGGGTGTCTGCATCTATGAAGAGTTCTTTGGTAGGTGTTCTCTGAAGATTTGGGGGTTAGGAAAAGATACTGGTGTTGAAATTGTCTCCCTAATTTCAAGGAAGATAAGAGGAACCTCGGGGCAGAGGCCAAGAAATAGTTTTTAAATATGAGGGGCAAAATGATGTAGTTAGGCAACAGAGACGGTATGGTGATAAGAAGGATACAGGGATTAATACTACAGGGATTTAGGGGGTCTGATTAGTTGAAGTTAAGATTTCTATAAATGAAATAGATAGGCAGTCCAGTCGGGTACACCTGAAAACTCCAGAGGCCTGACTTGAGATAGCACAACAAAGAGTAGTGGTCCCTCATCCAACTTCCAGACCCGATTTAATTCATATCCAGAACCCCTTGAATGAAGGAAAACTTAACTCCTCTTGAGGAAGGACTCAACAAAGGCATTTACTATGAATCTTCTTCAACACTGTCTTATTTCTTTTCCCCTCATTATAACTTTGCCCATTTTCTTTACTTATTTTTTATATTCTTGGATTATTTATATTTCATAAGCTGCTTGAAATCCTTTTAGAAACTATAGACTACAAATTAAAAACTTGAAATCTATATAGTGATTTTTTAATGTCATTTCATTATCTTTATTTTACAGTCACTGTTCTTTGAACTAGAAGTATTGACTTACCTACAGACTCTTTGAAATGTGGACTTTCTTTAATTCCCTTTAAGAAATCTTTTAAATCCACCTCCTTATTATCTGGAAGGTCAAAACCAAGCATGGTGACATTAAAAATCTGATACTGAATCAGCACATGAAATAAAGGCTCTGATTTACAACAGATACCTAAAATTCCATTCTAGGTCATTTTCTGACTCAAACAATTGAAATAGAAATAAAGTTCTATTTCAATAGAACTTTTCATACTTTTAGGAACCACTCATTGAACAGTTAATTATATTAATAGCTAATATTTTTTGAGTCCTTACTCAAAAGTAAGAACTTATATAACTTTCAAGTTTCTTCTATATACTAGGCATCATCTTATGGTGCTTTACATTTATTAACTCATGTAATCTTCACAATAATTCTATCACATAGATACTCTTAATATACCTATTTTTAAAAGATGAAAGCAGAGAGAAAGTAAATAACTTGTCCTGGTCACAAAGCCAGGAAGTGCTAGAGGCTGTATTTGAACTGAGGCAGTCTAGGCCAGAGGTGACAATGTTAACTATCAGGATACACACACACACACACACACTTGAAGTAAGATGCAGTAATGTAACCACAGCAGAAAATCTAGAGCTACAACTACATTAAGGAGACTTCAAGTTATAACAAAATGGCAGACTGGGTAGCACAGAAACCATCCCACTACAAATCCCTAGAGGTTCTATATGAATTACAACATCTTATGAATGCATGATCAAGTCATATGAAAAAGAAATAATAAAAAGTTAAGTGGGCACTGAGATCCAGATGGAAACCAGTGAATACTAAGCCTACAGCTATCTTGGGGATACATATGAGACTCAGAAATGGCTAGGTGCTTGATTTAAATGCTCATGCAAAGTCATAAAAGAGGACTTGGGTCCACGCTAAATGGAGAGTTTGAATTTAGATACCAAATAAAACTGAGATGCTTAAAGGATTTCAATCCAGTGAAAGATTAAAATATTACATTCACTGGCCCAGGTAAACAATAAAGAGACCTAAATCTTCCTAATTCTGAGAAGCAGTGGGGGAAAAAAATCTCCTGTGAAAAACTGAAAGCCCAGCCTGCATCTCATGTGGGTTTGGAGTTTAAATTTATACCACTCTCATGATGGAAGAAACCCCAGGTCAAAACATAAAAATTGATCAAGGTCAATAATAATCTGGGGGACCTGGCAAAAGCAATAATCAAACTGCGCTGGGGAGGCACTCTGAGACCTAGGACTCACAGGAGTCCCATAGGAAAAACAAACTGGTTAAGATAAGCCCAAAATAAAAGGTCACCTAAAACCAATGAAACTCAGCAGCTTCTAGAAGTATTCCCACATGATTTGACTTCTTTTTTTTTTTTTTTATAATTTTTATTTATTTTTTTTCCCCCAAAGCCCCAGTAGATAGTTGTATGTCATAGTTGCACACTCTTCCAGCTGCTGTATGTGGGACACGGCCCCAGCATGGCCAGAGAAGCGGTACGTCGGTGCGCGCCGGGGATCCGAACGCGGGCCGCCAGCATCGGAGTACACGCACCCAACCGCTAAGCCACGGGGCCGGCCCTGATTCGACTTCTTAAGAGTGAATGTGGGCCGCCCCATGGCTTAGCGGTTAAATGCGTGTGCTCCGCTGCTGGCGGCCAGGTTTGGATCCCAGGCACGCACCGTCGCACCGCTTCTCGGGCCATGCTGAGGCCACATCCCACATACAGCAACTAAGAAGGATGTGCAGCTATGACATACAACTATCTACTGGGGCTTTGGGGGAAAAAAATAAATAAATAAATAAATTATAAAAAAAAAAAAAAAGAGTGAATGTGCATAGGAAAGGAGATCTAGTACATATTACATGAAGTCAAAATGGAAAACAAAGGAAAATATGCACCCACTTGGAAACAATGACCAAAACTAAATAATTGTTCTTTTAAAATGTAGTGATCCTTTGAGTATTTCCTTTGGTTAAAAAACAAATTGGGACAAGTACTATAAAAGGACGGATGAAGGTGTATCTGGATCTCCTCTGAAGAAAGATTATAAATCAAAATGAAGCTGCTGGTGTCATGTCTTTCTTTTATTACATAATACATGGTATTTTCCCACCTGTGCTTATAAGTAATGAATGGTAATTATCTAAATAAGCATATACAGTATCCAGATGAGTATGAACAGTTAGATATGGTCAATAAATATTTAAATTCATAGAATATTTTGACTCTAATTTGCATCAACCTAAGACTCCAGTATGATTCCCTTTAGCATCTTACCCTCATATATATATACTCTAAGACTGTTTCCTATAAATAGGGAAAAATTAAAAGAATCTCCAGCCAAAAAATGCTCACCACTGAGGTCACAATATTTAAGGGCTTCACTGAAGTCCTCCTGAGTTAAATTAACATTCAAACTTTTCAGGGCATGCTCCAAGTTAGGTATATCAATTTTGCCATTATCAACATGTGACAAGACATGAGCAGCTTCTTTAATCTCTACAAAGATAAATAAATATATACAAGATATTATTGTTTTAAAAAATGCAAAAAGTTTATCCAAAATCCACTATAGGTTAAACTTTCAAATTAAATATTTATTTTAACCAAAATCTCTGCAGAAGAAAAGCAAAATATTTTCTATTTATAACTGATAGCCCATTTATTTCAAGCAGCATTTGAAACCAAAAAATTTCATGGTAAAGCGAGTATGGTGGGTTATCTGAATCCATTCATCCATTAAATACTTAATGAGCTGTTAAGCCTTTCTTAATAGTTATGTCATCTACATGTAGGTCTAAAGATTTCTACCAACAGATAAGGTAAACAAATAAAGGCTAAAATTTGAGATTGAAGTTCTTGATCCTCAGAGCCACTGCTAGTCCATATTGTATTATTGTGTAAATTGGAAAAAGGCACCCCCTCTCTATGTATCAATTACAAAAAGGATACCTTCCTCTGGGCAGCTACAATCTAGCACTGGGGTTCAAAGCTTGGAGAGCACAGTGGAACATGGACTGCATTTCAATGTCCACTTGTACCCTCTCAACCAGGCAAATCTGTGCAACGCACAACCCATACAACCAAATGAGGTAGTCTTGCTGATAACCAGACCAATTTAAAATGTAAAACATAATCACTACTGGGTGTTTTAATTTTTCATCAATACCATTTCCCACTCCATTTCTCCCTCAACCCCAAAATGAAGTTATTATATATATTTCCATAGTCTGAAAATTGTTGCATTACACCAGCAGATCTAAACCTTCAGGGAGGTCATTTAGAAAGAATACCATAATACCATCTTAAACATATATTCATTCTACTAACATTTATTTTACAGCTACTAAGACTAACAATGAAAACTTCAGCACTCTCATCAAAGAGTTTCCTATAAATTCCTTGAAGACAAGGACTGAATCTGTCATGTCTGTAAACAAAATTATAATACATTATATAGTTGGTACTGTGAAAAAAATATGCACAAGATATTATGGAAGCACTGAGAAAGTTCGCCTAACCTAGATTTAATGAGTGATGAACCCTAGGAAGTCTTATGGGGTCGGAGATGACATTTGAGCTGAGTTTGGGGAAAAAAATGTGAGTTTTTCTGACAGGATATATATATTAAGAAAACAGCACATGCAAAGACATGGAACCAAAAGCAAATAAAGCCAATTTAAATTATAATAAGTAGTATGGCTACAGAAGAAATACATATGGAAAATTGATGAGAGGAGGCTAAAGAGATAAGAAGACAGATTTATTCATTCATTCATTCCATAAATATTTACAATTATATGAGCTAATAAGATAAAAGATTTGGAACAATGCCTAGCAGAGTAAATATCATATAAGTATTAACTAGTAATATCAACTATTACTAAGAGCCACTGAGAGCCAGGATTGTGCTAGGATCTGGAGAAACAATGGTGAGCAAAGTGGAGACATGGTCCTTGGCCTAATGACACTTTCAGGCAAGTGGGAAAAAGAGACATTAATCAAATAATTGAAAGCATGAGTGGATATTTATAATATGAAATAAGTGCTATGAAAGAGGCCTGGTTTAATAAGAACATATAACAAACGAAACTGACCTAGACTAGCAGACAATGAGAGGTTTCCCTGAGGAACCTGACACTCATCTGAAAGATGAGTAAATGTTAACTAGGCAAAGAGGTCCAGGGAAGAATATTCCATATATATATATATATTCCAAAATATAATATGCAAATGCCTTGCAGTGGGAGGAAAAGGAACTGAAAGAAAGCCAACGTAGTTGAAGTACAGAAAGCAAGGATAATGGTGCAAAATTATGCTAGAGAGGTGGGGCATGCAGGATTTTGATCTTTTTCCTTACAACAATGGGAAATGTTTAAAGAGTTATAAATAGGGGGAGGAAAAATGATCAGATTACTATTTTGGAAAAAAATATCACTCTGGCTGGAGTGGGCAGAATGGACTAGCAATCCATTGGCACTTGGCAATTATCCTAAAAAATAACTCTTTTATAGGGAATGTTTTATATATAAAGTTCTTACCGTCTGCCTTTGGTAATTTCAGATTAGAAGACAAAGTCTCTTTCCTTAAATCTGCAAATTTAGAGAGAGAGATTATACAACAAGGAATGGCATCCTGATCTTACCCAATTTGAAAGGAAACCAATGGATAGACTAAATACTTTATCTCTCAGTAACATTTATCATTGATGACCATTCCCTTCTTCTCAAAAATCTTCCCCTGGCTTCCAGAATATTATTCTCTTCTTGTGATCCTCTTACTTGTTAGACTCCTTCATGGATTTGTCATCCTCCACCAGCTTCTTAAATGTGGCAGTTTCTAATGTCACAGATGCTTCCTTTCTCCCTAAGAGGGCAGGTTAATCCCCAGGTCCATATATTCAATAAAACGTTTAATTATTAGTCTGAATTGTCCTTCACTATTCCTGGTTGCCTCTCTACTATCTATCATCTATCTAATCCTGGAGCCTTTTTTAAGGACAAGTAGTAGTTACACCCATTCATCCCACACACTTCCTACAGAAATGCAAATTGCTACAGAATTCTATTTGAGGGACAAGTGATAGAAACACAATTTGTCCATTTGCATAGATGGACCATATTGCAGTTAAAGAACAGTTAAGAATAACTCACAACTAGTCCAGGTATTACCTTGAAACAAAGGGAGGTTAGAATAAAGGTAAATTATATTTACCTTAAATTTTTTTATTTGCTCTAAGCAGGATGAACAAAACAACTAACCTATTAAAAAGTACTTTCAAAATAGTAGATTTGGGCAATTTTATAAGATAACTTTAAAACAGGATTTCTCAACCTCAGCACAATTAATATTTTGGGCCAGACAATTATACAGGGGCAGGAGTACTGTCCTTTACATTGTAGGATGTCTAGCAGCATCCCTTGCCTCTACTCACTAGATGCCAGCAGTCCTCCCCCATCAGTTTTGACAACCGAAACTGTCTTCAGACATTGCCATTTGTTCCCTAGAAGGCAAATCTGACTTTACTTTTTAGCTGAAGCTAAATTTAAAGGCAGGAAATGGCTGTCTAAATATGGGTAAAATCCATCTGAATATATCCCAGATAAGCATATAGATGGATCAGGTAAATTCTTTGTAAACAGAGCAAACAGCAGCTCAGTATTTATATAGAGTGTTTTAGAGACAGATATCTTAACTTAATTATTCAATAATAACTTGTACATCTCAAAGGGCCTTTCACCTAAAAAAAGAAAGCTAGGAAACTATAAAGACCTCTCTAAAATCCATAAAAGAAAGGGGTTAACTTTGAAATGAAATTCCTCTAAGAAGAAACATTATTTCAAAGCCATGCAACAACATATATAAATACTTTGAGACCAACTTTACAATCCAGTCCAGGAGATCATCCAGGCATTTAATATTGTAATAACTAAATCCCTGTGGATATACAATAAAGGCATACCCCTAAATCTGGTCTATAGTAAACAGTGTTCCAATAAGTTTATGGTGTTATTTTGGACCTAAGTATTAAAGCTTAATTACTGTTTGGTAAAATAGTTTTAAACCCTTGGATAAAATTTTAGAAGAAACTTTTATTATAAGCTGTTGGCTATCTGCTCAATCAACTCACCCTCAACAAAGGAATCATTCAGTATTTCTTGAAGACTATCATCAGTGAAATAAATTCTATTGGTGTCTTCAAGTACATCTGAATATTTGTCCTTATCACACTGATTACTTTCTGTCATGTGGTCCAATGTATTGATGGTCTCTTTCAATGCTAGAAACACAGAGAATACACATACAACATGTTATTCAGTCCATGGATATAAATCTTTGGAACATAAAAATAAAACTGACAAACTCTTCTTGATTTGCACTGTCCAAAAGGCAGTCACTAGCCATATGGGCTGTTTAAATAAGTAGAGCTGTCCATTCTCAACTCCTATAATTTTCTATAGCCCCTTATCTTTATTCTTAAAAATTATGTTAAATGTCTGATTTTTGGTGGGCTATTCCTCTATCAACAAAAGTATACCAAAGTTTTCTCTAGTTATTCTGTCAATGAACTCATCATTTCAGTAAAAAATACCCTTCATTCTTCATAACCTCTCAAACCCCAATCTTTCCCTTTCCACTTTCCTCCCCTACATCCCTTGCTCCTGTCAGTTAACTTCACCCACTTTAGAGACGCATTACGGTCTACTTTGTTTAGCACAATAACATCAAACATTTGGACTACGAAATCCATGACTGCTCTCCCTTAATTTTAAAAAGAAAACTTCACATTTCTAAAGTACATTTCTAAAAAAGAACCTCTTAGGATTCATTAAAAGAAATGGATAATAAATTACTTTAAAATTAGCTAATTTATGTAAAAGTATAATTTATAGATTATTTTGTTCTATGATATAGTCATTAGTTATTGGTAAGAAGTTTCAAAAACAGATCATGTGAAGAAGAGTTGAAGGGAAATTTGAGCCCAGAGAAAAAATGATTTAATGGGAAGGAAAGAAAACTTAAGAGTTCTCCTCACATTTCTGGAGGGCTGCTGACAGGAGAAAGAGTCCAAATGTTAAATATGGTTCAGGGCAGAATTATAAGGCAGGATTTCTAGCAAATATGTGGAATAATTGTCTAATTTTACAGCTATTCAAAATTATGGAGGGGCTTCTTCAAAAAGTCATAAGGATTTTCAAGACAAACAGTGGAATGAATACAGATTACCATTAGCCTGTCCCCACAACCCACTAATTCGATCTTTAAATAAACATATAAAAATTGAAGAAACTCCATATCTAATGAACTAAAGAACTATCAAATCCTCTACTACAGACCTCATTCTCTGACCACAATAAAATAAAAGTAGAAATAAACAACAAAGAGAGGGCAATAATGAAATTCAAACTGCTTTCAAATTTAAAGTTTTCTCTTAAACAACTCTTACATCAAGGAGAAAATCAAAACACAATTGGAAATATTTAGAAAATAACAATAACGAACCAAAGACTGTTAGATAAACCAAAGTTTTACTAAAATGAAAATTGACAGTCTTAAACATGTTTATTTCCCAGCAAGAAATAAAAGAAAAGAAAATCAAAAATTTAAACAATAAGTTACGAAAACTATAAAATAGGCCTAAAGGAACAATAGAAAGGACTTAATAAAGATAAAAGCAGAAATTAATTTTTTTAACTATAAACAGAAACACTAAAGATAAATCTAAGAGCCAGCGCTTTAAAAGAGAGATAAATAAAACATGTTTTATATATACACATTCAAGACTGAGAAAATAACCACACATACAAAAAAAAATCAAAAGAATTATCAGTGCATGGGGCTGTACAAAAATTCTAAGAAAACACCTGAATAAAATTAAAAATTTCCTAGAAGAATAAAAATTACCAAAACTGACAAAATAAGACAGAAGATGGCAAAAAGCAATCCACAAGAAACAAAGTCAAAGATGAATAACAAACGAGAAAAAAACTACAAGCAGTTTCTTCTAAGACAAAACATTAACTCCCTTACTACATAAAGAGCTATTTACAAATTCATATGAAAAATACAACTTAATTAAAATATAATCAAAAGACATTCACAATCATATGAAAAATATGTTTTATCTCACTAGTAATTAAAGAAGCACATATTAAAACAAGAATAAAATTTATTACCATCAGAATTTTCAATAAATAGTACCCACTATTGATAAAATGTGAATTTTTACAACCCTTTAGGAGGGTAATTAGGCAGTGGCTATTAATATTCTATATCTGCATGTATTTTGGCCTAGCAGTTTGAGTTCTGAGGAATTTATCCTACAGGAAAACTTGGTGCACAGGTGCACAAATATATATATACAGTGATGATCATCAAAATGTTTGTAATAGTGAAAAATTGGAAATAATCTAAATATTCATCAAAAGGGTTGTGGATAAAATTATAGTACATCCCTACGATGGAATATTATCCAGTCTTTAAAAAGAATCAAGTAGCTTATATGATATAGTGGGACATGGAACAATATCTAAGACACAACGTTAATTTTTTCAAAGCAATTTGTGGAATATTATAGGCATAGTAATCTAATTTTTAAATAATAATTTCAGAATACACAAATAGATGTAAAGAAAAAAAGCCTAAAAGGATTTTTACCAAATGTTAACAGGGATATTTGCAGAAGGTGACATTACAAGAGCCTTGTACTTTGCATTTCTTACATTTCTCGTCATCAAATTTTTTTATAACATTTAAAAAATTGCCACTAGCATATAATGAAGGTTTCTTTTCTTTTTTTTTTTTAGATTTATTTATAAAACCCGCCCCCCACCCCTAAGGTGGGAGGAGCTGGGGAAAGTAGAAGAGGTGGAAAAAGGGGCCCAGAAAAAGTGGAGGAGTGGAGAGGCGTGGCTGGAAAAGAAGGAAGAGGGTCCCTTTCCTCAAGTTAAGGGGGGCACAGGAGCTCCGTTGACAGTCATCTTGCGCCCCCTGCTGGTGGAGGATGGTGTCTGCAGGCAGTTCGAGGTGCCCCCGTTGGCAGCTGTGGTGACCCCACTGGCTGCCGAAGGAGGGGTGGGGGAGGTAGGGTGCGTTAATGAAGGTTTCTTATTTTAACTATTGGAAAAGATCACAACCCTGTGATTTTCCCTATATTTTCCATCACAAATGCACAAGTCTTAAATGAAAAAAAAAAAAAAAAGGAGTAAAGGTTGCCATAACTGGAAGTGTTCAAATACAGATGAAACAAACATTTGGCACAGATAACTACAAGAAGATATAAGCACCAAATATAGTGTTTGATTAGATAACCTTTCAATGAGTCATGTGTTGCTGTCTTTTAACAGCACGACGAAACTCTTACCAATAAAATTGGAATATTTCTAGGTGTCCCTCAAAGCCTTTATACAGTCTTTAACATTCACAATGTTGTCTTTTGGAGGGAAAAGAGAGAGGTGACAGACAAAATTCCTGGACAAGGTAATATTAAAAATTAAAATTAAATTCAGCATACAACTTTTATATATTTCTTGAACACTTTATTTACAAGATACTTGGGATTCATTGTCATTCATTATGCCTTACAATAACCCTCCAAGATTGTAGATAGACTAGTTCCAATTCTACCTGTAAGGGAACTAAAATACCAAGAAATTTATAAGGTCCAAAACTTCACTCTGTCCAAAGTGGCAAAGCTAGGATTTCTACTCACAGGACCTGAATTCCCAAACTATTCTTCAGTCACTAAATCAAGATACATGAGGAAAGAGAAGTCAAGATGGTGGTGTAGGCAGACTCTGAACTCACCTCCTCCCGCAGACACAGCCAATTTACAACTACTCGTGGAAAAATTACCCCTGAGACAGAGCTGAAAACTGGATAAGAGGAACTCCTGCAACAAAGGACAATCCTAATTGAGGTGGAAGAGACAGAAACTCCTTTCTAGAGAGAAAAACGCCACCTTCACAAGATGCCAGCTTCACGGCTGCCCATGAGCAGCCCAAAGGTACACAGACTCCCTGGAGGCACGGGGCCCTGAGCCGGGGAGTGCCCCCGTTGTAGGCATTTTGTGGACCCAGCACAATCAAGACGAGTGGCATAATATCTGACTCTGCCTGCTACTAAAACATTGGGGAGTGCCCCCAGAAAACCTGGTTCACAAAGAAATTAAAACCGGCTCTTGAAGGGCATACGCGCAAACTCACCCGTTTCAGAAAGCATCCTAAAATCACCAGAAAGAAAGGTGCATAGTGCTTTGGTGAAAAGAGACTCACCTGATAGGCCCTGAGTGCATCTCAGTGAGACATGAGACCTCTCCAGGGACTGGGACATTGGCGGCGGCCATTGTTGTGGCCTGGTGTGGGCGTGCTGACACAGACGCCATTAG